GGGGGTCATTGGCCACTCAGCGGTCACTCATTGGTCACTCATCGGTCACTCCCCCCCAGCCGGCCGCACCACGACCAACGAGGAGCTGGAGGAGATGCTGGAGAGCGGCAAGCTGGCCGTGTTCACCGACGACGTGAGTGACGGCCACCAACGGGCTGTGGTGGCCACCAGGGCTACCAACCGGCCACTGGGGCTACCAACGGGCAGGAACCTCTGCTGACCACCTGGAGGTCCCTGGTGACCACCTGGAGATCCGTGGTGACCACCTGGAGATCCGTGGTGACCTCCTGGAGATCCCTGGTGACCACCTGGAGATCTCTGGTGACCACCTGGAGATCCGTGGTGACCACCTGGACCACCAGGAGCCCCCAGGAACCTCTGGTGACCACCTGGAGATCCCTGGTGACCACCTGGAGATCCGTGGTGACCACCTGGACCACCAGGAGCCCCCAGAAACCTCTGGTGACCACCTGGAGATCCATGGTGACCACCTGGAGGTCCCTGGTAACCACCTGGAGATCCGTGGTGACCACCTGGAGATCCATGTTGACCACCTGGAGATCCGTGGTGACCACCTGGAGGTCCCTGGTGACCACCTGGACCACCAGGAGCCCCCAGGAACCTCTGGTGACCACCTGGAGATCCATGGTGACCACCTGGAGATCCGTGGTGACCACCTGGAAATGCCTGGTGACCACCTGGAGGTCCCTGGTGACCACTGGAGGTCCATGGTGACCACCTGGAGATCTCTGGTGACCACCTGGAGATCCATGGTGACCACCTGGAGGTCCCTGGTGACCACCTGGAGACCCCTGGTGACCACCTGGAGATCCATGGTGACCACCTGGAGATCTCTGGTGACCACCTGGAGATCCCTGGTGACCAGGTGACCACTGCTGACCGCCGCTGTCCCCACAGATCAAGATGGACTCGCAGATGACCAAGCAGGCGCTGAACGAGATCGAGACGCGGCACAACGAGATCATCAAGCTGGAGAGCAGCATCCGCGAGCTGCACGACATGTTCGTGGACATGGCCATGCTGGTGGAGAGCCAGGTCCGGCCAGAGTGACCACCGGTCATTGGGAGTGACCACTGGTCATTGGGAGTGACCACCGGTCATCGGGAAGGGTTTGAGGTCATTGGGATGGGTTTGAGGTCATCTGGACCCACCAAGGGTCATCAAGAACCCACCAGGGGTCATCTAGAATGGGGTTAGATGTCATTGGGAGTGACCAGTGGTCATTGGGAGTGACCAGGGGTCATCCTGAGTGACCACTGGTTATCAGGAAGGGTTTGAGGTCATTGGGATGGGTTTGAGGTCATCGGGAGTGACCAGGGGTCATCAGGAGTGACCAGGGGTCATCCATGACATGTTGGTGGACATGGCCATGCTGGTGGAGAGCCAGGTCTGGCCAGAGTGACCACCGGTCATTGGGAGTGACCAC